TTCTCCGGTGGTAAAATTGTGTTTTTGAACATATTTACGTATTTTTAATTTTTTCATTTTTATTTGTACTTTTTTATAATAGTTATTTTTTTTAATTTATTTTTATAATTTTTATTTTATTTTCCAGGTAGAAAAAGTTGTTTGGCGACTTATTTTTTAATTTTAATTTTTTTATTTTACTTTCCCGGTCGTAAAATTGTGTTTTTTGAGTGTTGATGTTGGTAGGCCTGCCCGTCCCCTAGTTGAATTAGTTTTTTTTGTTTTATTATACTTTTCCTATTCTAAAAATTGTGTTTTTTGGACTTGTCTTTTTATTTCATTTTTATAATTTATTTATTTAATTTTTTTTGTTATATTTTCATAATTTTAATTTTTTTAGTTTTATTTTTTCGGTCGTAAAATTGTGTTTTTTGGATTTATTGTTTTCTTTGATTTTTAATTTTTTATAATATAAAAATTGTTTTTTTGGACATTTTTTTATCGTTTATGTAATTTTCATTTTTTCAAGTTTCTTCTCGGACGTAAAATTGTGTTCTTTGGACATATTTATTTTCTTATTTTTTATTTTATATATATATTTTTTATTTTATTTTTATAATTTTTATTTTGTTTTCACCAACTGTGGTGATTTTATCCGCCATTTTAATTGTTGTATGTTGTATGTGACAACAAGATGGCCGCCAGATTATTTTACATTGTTTATTCGTAAATGTTGTAATGTTATGTTAAACAAATGACAATTATACGATTTTTATCATTTATTCACAATAAAAGTCAGGTTGAGGGATGGTTTTTTGTTACAGTTTTTTTAATAAAACCCCCTGCTACCGCCACTAACCCCGCCACTGCTTTTAATTAAAAAAATATTCAAATAATTATAAAAATTTTTAATCCCGATTTTGTTGGCTAAAATCCCCACAAAGCTACGCCACTGTTTCAATAGTTTGTGTAGGTGGCGCCACAATCGCACAAAAAAATAGTAAAAAAAACAACTAAAAAAATTCAAAAACGCCCCAAGGCCCCAAAAATGTGTCCTTTAATTGCGTTCAAGCCCTTAATTATTAATTACTTGCGGTTTCGTGCAATTTTAATTAATTTAGTGGCGGCTTGACAGTTGTCAAATGTCAAAATGGCGATTTTCATAAATAAACATAACCTAACAATTTGAAGTAAAAAAACTCGTAAAAAATCGTTTTTTACTAGTGATTCATCACGGTTTTTCCCCTATTTTCCGATTTCCGTGTTTTTTGGTCAAAATGGAATCAAACGTGGAATCTGAATTAAAGCACACTTCCGGCCTTATAAATCCCCAAGAACGGTTAAAACACTTGATAAATTACAGTAATGCGGTCGAGGTGGACTTCCACATACCCCCCACGCGGTAAGTGCCCCATTTTTGGGGTAAAACCCGGGTTAAGGGTGTCTTTTAGGTACTACCGTTCGGGGCTCGAAATGGTCCGAATGGCCAATGTGTACAACAGTGAGGGCAACTACGAGAACGCCTACGTCCTCTACTTGAAGTTCATGACCCTTTTCCTGGAGAAAATCCGGAAACATCCGGATTTTAACTCAGTTCCGGTGAAAATGAAAGCCATCAACCAGGCGAAGCTCCGGGAGGTGCTCCCCAAGGCGGAGAGGCTCAAGGAGCGGCTCCTGGAGCAGTACAAGGAGGAGTTCAATCGATACATCGCGGAGAGGGTCGCCACAGCCCCCATTTTGGCCGAATTTTTTGTAAAGTTTCAGTTTCAGGCGCGGAAAAGACAACCGAATGAATCAATGGACACGCTGAAGACGGAGCCCAATATCGCCTCGGCCTCCACGCTGAATGAGTCGTTTGTGAATGTGGAAACCCCCCAAAGTATTGATGATATTACCTATCCTGACCCGGAGACCAATTCGCGACGCCCCAGGTAATTCCCCGTTTTTTATTTTCATTTTTCGTTTTTTTTTTATCTTCTGTGACTTTTTTTTATTATTTATATTTTTTATTTTACTTTCATCTTAATTTTATTTTTATGATTTTTTTCTTCTTTTTTAATTTCTTTTGTTATATTTTCAAAATTTTTATGTTTGAATTTTACTTTTCCGGTCGTAAAATTGTGTTTTTTTGGCCTTATTTTTTATTTTTTATTTATATATTTTTTTATTTTACTTTCCCGGTCGTAAAATTGTGTTTTTTGACTGTTGATGTTGGTAACCCTGCTTCCCCCCTAGTTGAAATAGTTTTTTTTTGTTTATTTTATTTTTAAAAATAGTGTTTTTTGGAGTTATTTTTTTATTTCATCTCTAATTTTATTTTTATGATTTTTTCCCTAATGTTAATTTATTTTGTTATATTTTCATAATTTTTATTTTTTAATTTTATTTTTCATTTTGTTACAGTTTATATCATAATTTTATTTTTAAAATTTTTATTTTATTTTTCCCAGTCGAAAAAATTGTGTTTTTTGGACTTATTTTTTATTTTTTTATTTATATATTATTTTTATTTTACATTCCCGGTCGTAAAATTCTGTTTTTTGAGTGTTGATGTTGGTAGGTCTACCCGCCCCCTAGTTGAAATAGTTTTTTTTTTGTTTATTTTATTTTTAAAAATAGTGTTTTTTGGAGTTATCTTTTTATTTCATCTTTAATTTTATTTTTATGATTTTTTCCCTTATTTTAATTTCTTTTGTTATATTTTCATAAATTTTATTTTTTACTTTTACTTTTCCGTTCGTAAAATTGTGTTTTTTGAACTTATTTTTTTATCTTATTTTTAATTCATTAATTTTTTATAATGTAAAAATTGTGTTTGTTTGAACTTATTTTTTATTTCTCATTTTTTGCAGTTTATATCATAATTTTATTTTTATTTTATTTTTCCCAGTCGAAAACATTGTGTTTTTTGGATTTTGTTTTATTTATATATTTTTATTTTACTTTCCCGGGCGTAAAATTTTGGTTTTTGAGTGTTGATGTTGGTAAGCCTGCTTCCCCCCTAGTTGAAATAGTTTTTTTGTTTATTTAATTTTTTAAAATAGTGTTTTTTGGAGTTATCTTTTTATTTCATCTTTAATTTTATTTTTATGATTTTTTCCCTAATGTTAATTTCTTTTGTTATATTTTCATAATTTTTATTTTTTAATTTTAATTTTCCGGTCGTAAAATTGTGTTTTTTTAACTTATTTTTTATTTTATTTCTCATTTTTTTGCAGTTTATATCATAATTTTATTTTTAAAATTTTTATTTTATTTTTCCCAATCGAAAAAATTGTGTTTTTTCAGTGTTGATGTTGGTAAGCCTGCCTCCCCCCTAGTTGAAATAGTTTTTTTTTGTTTATTTTACTTTTAAAAATTGTGTTTTTTGGAGTTATCTTTTTATTTCATCTTTAATGTTATTTTTGATTTTTTTCCTTTATTTTATTTTTTTTTTGTTCTATTTTCATAATTTTTATTTTTTAATTTCACTTTTCCGGTCGTAAAATTGTGTTTTCTTGAACTCATTTTTTATTTTATTTTTATTTTTTTTGCTGTTTGTCATAATTTTATTTTTAAAATTCTTATTTTATTTTTCCCAGTCGAAAAAATTGGGTTTTGTGGACTTATTTTATATTTTGTTATTTATATTTTTTTATTTTACTTTCCCGGTCGTAAAATTCTGTTTTTTGAGTGTTGATGTTGGTAAGCCTGCCTCCCCCCCTAGTTGAAATAGTTTTTTTTTGTTTATTTTACTTTTAAAAATTGTGTTATATTTTTTTTGTTATATGTATTTCCATAATTTTTATTTTTTCTCATTTTTTTAATTAATATCATAATTTTATTTTTATAATTTTTATTTTATTTTTCCTAGTCGAAAAAAATGTGTTTTTTGGACTTTTTTTATTTTCATTTTTTTTATTTATATTTTTTATTTTTCATTTGACTTTGCCGGTCGAAAAAATAGTATTTTTTTATGTTTATATTTTAATTTTTGTTTTACTTTCCCGGTTGTAAAATTGTGTTTTTTGAGTGCTAATGTTGGTAGGTTAGCCCATCCCCTAGTTGAAATAGTTTATTTTTTTATTTTTTTGTTTATTTTTCTTTTCCGCTCCTAAAAATTGTGTTTTTTTTGGACTTATTTTTTTTATTTTATTTCTCAGTATATTTTTATAATTTCTTTCTTTTACTTTAATTTCTTTTGCTATATTTTCATAATTTTACTTTTCCGGTCGTAAGATTGTATTTTTTGGATTTATTGTTTTATTCTATTTTTAATT